ATCATCCAAATAAATAAGGGCTCAGAATGATCAGCGTCAAACTCCCCGAAGACGTAATTTGACAATTTAAACTTGAATTGTCCAACATTACGTCTTGCAGCCTATAGCTGATCCTACAGCTTATACAAACAAGTCAAACTACACAGAACTCAAATAGAAACAACAGAATGCAAACAATACAATACAACACAATAATTAACACCCTTTTACCCTTCTAGCAGGTTGCTCCACCGCCATTGGTGAAGGAGATCCAGCACCACTCTGTATTGATCAGTAACCTGCAGCGAGTAATTAAAACACAATATCTCTGAACATCATTACAAATCAATTGTGGAACAATACAACTAATCAGTAGTCTTTTCTTCAGCTCATTCATATGAAGTGCATCAAAATCACCAAGAAATGGAAGTTAATACATAATTAATACAATTGAATACATATATAATTAATTACAAAATTCAGCAGTGTTGTTGTCAACTACATGTTCACACTTAAGGCATTCAAATTACCTTTTATCACACTTAATTCAAGGACACATTCTCTCAAGTAAGTTCTTAATGATTTCACTTCACCTTAATCTGATAAAGTTTGACTCTATTTCAGTCACATCAATCTTATGACAATCACCGAAATCTGCTAATACTCAATTACATGACATTTTTACATAGTGAATAGGCGTTTCATGTAGCACCTCCCACACAAACTTTCATCTTACAATTTTCATAAACACTCTTATGCTCTCTAATTTAATAACAGCTAGCCTGTAATAAGTTTTTTTTTTTTTTTGCCATAAACGTCTGCCCTTCCTTGCTCTAAATGTACACATTTAACTTCTGATTTCAGGATAGTGTGGGTTCATGTGCCCCACTGTCGACCTTTCATCCTGCTCTCTCCTTTGTTACATTGTTTACAACCTAACAGTTAACTAAGGGCAGTCATGTTGCTGTTTTTGCAATAGGTCTAGTACTTTTCTACAGTAACACCTTAACAAATACAATTCTTAGTTGCTAAATCACTGTCAACATAAAGGTTTCTGAAGATCACAATTACATAAATACATTCACTCTGTCCTTCTACTCACTGGCAGTTGAAAAGGAGGAAAGAACAAGCGCGATGAATAAAGATAGTCCTCGGTCCTATTTGGCACACTCTGTAAGATGATTTCTTACAAGTTCATAGAATTCTTATTGACAATTCAACAAGCAATTTCGATTAATTCAATTTATACAAGTAAGGTTTTAAACTCTGCTTATTGAATCTTCTACGTGCGTTCCCATTAAGCGAAAAATTTCGAAAAGTGAAGGCCAAAAGAAAACATCTGCTAATAAACGACGAACTCAGAGGTCTCATTGCCCAGAGCTAACTTCAGTGCCCTTACAAAACCAGACAAGGAATTCCGAAAACCTATAAGGTGCTCTCATATTTTGATATACAGGCTTCGAAGTTAATGCAATTAAACTTTCTTTTTCTGACAAGGACAGATTCTGGTTCTTATAAATCAAAGTAGCCATATCAGTAGGAGAAATAGTTCTACAGTCTGGAGTGTCATCATTAGCTTTGTGGATATGAACTTCATCTATTGGGATCCCATCTAACCTGTTACAATCACTATGACTCAGCTTCTTAAAATCATCATCTTCTTCTGCATTATAAAACCTGCCATTTATTCGGCTAATAACTCGAACTTCATCTTCGTCAATAAACTCATCATCTTTACTCCTGTCATCATTAGACATGTTCGCGTGGGTCTCACACCCTGACATAACTGCTTCGTTTACTACTTTCACTAGCGAGGCAACTTCAAACCCGCTGAGTCCTTTCCCATTCCCTTCACAAACCTTTCCTTCCAAACTGTTGTTACTATGGGATCCCTCAAAACTGCTTCGAGCAGCTGTAAGTGGCTCTGGTTCACTCACTGGCGGTATATGGCTTTCG